TAAACAGATAGTTGCGTATCAAAAAATTAAACATGCAGTCAATGGTTAATATGTTTTAATTGTTTATAATATAGATGATGTCGGTTTTGACTTTTAGGTGGACACTCTTGCAAAGTCAGTGTGCTTTTCTAATGTTGTTGGAAAAGAAGTGTACACCTCAATTTTAAGTCGAGTGGACGAAATTACTCTGCTTGGTTGTTTTAGAGCAGATGGACCAAAATTCAAGTCTTTAATTATAACCAGTCGAATCACATTATAGCTCAATGTATTAACTAATTTAAAAGACCTGGCTATGGTATATACTCAAGAACGTGGATTTATGAATTTGGAACTTTTTTGGTTCGAAAAAGTTTTTATTACGAATTTTAAAGCATTGAGAAAAACTATGAAAACAAAGACGAGAGGGGTTTAGATAATTGATGGTTTCAAAAGGAACAACTTCGCTGTAAACCATTTTGAAAAGAACGGAATTGATGTTTAATATTATAAACTACACACGTCCCATTTTGTCAGCCATTAGATCTGTCTATTTTTGCTGGAATCAGAAGCCATCTTATTCGCTATGAACTTATGAAAATGGATTTCACAAAGTACATGTCAGAAAATTGTGTCACATCTGATAAAATATTCGACTATATTGTCAATATCAAAATACAATTTGCAGAATTGACAGTGGAAATAACAATTTTAAATTTATGATTCTTAGAAAACGAAAAATCGACCAGAACTTATTCAAAACAAGTTCAAACAGGCTGAAATAGCATCACCACCTATCATTGAAGAACGCAGAGATGAAAACATTTGAGATGCAGCCAGAGCTTATTGTGTATATGTTGTTGGTGTTCAATATTCACGTTGTATGCGTCATTTCTTTAAGGAAACGAAATACCAAAAAAGCCAGCTCCATCAATAACTCAGAGATTTATTTTAGAAACAAACAAAGAAAAAAAGGTGGTCATCAAAGAATTAATATTATATCAGACTGTTATCTAAATGTTAGTGAACTATTGTTTTTACAATATCATAATAATTGGTGTTTAAAAAATCAAAACAAGTATTAATTGTTTTAATTATAATTCAAACAATATTATAATTGTTTAACCAGTCAACAGTATTTTTGGGGGTAAAATGCACGAGATGAAAAATGTTTTTTTATAAATATAAAAATGAGAAAAAGATTCTAAAAACAAATTACATATAAATGTGCTATTGTATAAAAAGGCATCATTTGGTTGTTTTCACGAAGTCGAAACTACAGCTAGAGATCACCCCCAGGTTTTTACAACGATTCTAATACGATTTTAACTTTAGGTCTGAAATATAATCAACCCCATTTTTCCCAGACACTAATAATGAGTAGAAAAATCTTTATTATTACAGTGACAACATTGTAGTAGCAAAGATACTTATTACAATTATATTTTTCGTTGATTTGTGTGGCCGAATGGGTTTGCTTAAGAATTGTTAGTTATTTTATAAAAAACACAAAAAATTAAAAATATTTTTATACGTTTTATCTAAACAAAAACAATAACCATAATTTGAAATCTGTTTTTTAACCCTTCCAATACAAGAAAAATAATTGTTACAAAGCGCATACAGATGAATATAAACTTAAATCCCAAAACTAAAAATTATTCTTTATGAAAGTATTTAGTTTTAAATTGTTTTTTAAGTTTTAGTTTGATGTAACAATTTTAAAATATAAAAAGTTTCCACATTATATTTTATTGTTCGTTATGTTTATATTAAGTCTAAGACTGATTGATTATACAAATTAGTTAAAAACATATATTTTATAATAATGTAGAGTAATGTTTAAAAAGTTCTTTCTTTAAAGACAGGAAAATAGGTGGCGATGTTGTTTATATACATTTGGTTTATTTTGTGTAATGTTAAACCAAAATAATTAAAACAATAGTTAAAAATATCAATTATTAATATATCTCATATACATATGATTCTCAAAATAATATTTTTGAGTGAAAAGACTAAACATTAATGTGGTTGCACAACCAATAACATAATATTTGATTGTTTGTTATAAATATTATAATTTAATAAAATATTAACTTTTTTATATGTTAGTTAAAAAAATCAAAACAATTAGAATAAAAACCAAATTGAAATAATTACTTTTCAATTTTTCAAAATATGATGTATCCCTTGTTTTTTAATGAAAAAAAAATATCGCAATTTAATTTAATACGTTTTTTAAACCCTGTTTTTGAAAAGATTGGTATTTATAATTTATTATACTATACACAAATTTTTATTTAAAAAAATAATTTTTAAATAATTAACACTTTAAATAACATTGAACAAAATTCAAGTGGTCTAAAAATCTGGGAAATATCGAGTTTATTAAATAAATTTCAGTTTTTTTAGAGTTTGTTTTATGTGCATAAACATTACACAAGTCAAAAAAGAAAATCATTAAAAATTAAATTAATATCCTGTAAAAACAAACCAAAACAAAAATAAGGGCGTTCTTTTAAGTGTTAATAAGATAATTTGTCAAGTTTTCATAATTGTAAAAGTGAACCTTTTTTAAACAAAAATACAATTTTAGGTCAAAAGTTACTATTAATTTATACAGTTTAATTTAGTTGTTTTTGTTTTGTAAATAATTAAAACTTTTCTGTTTTAATTTTCAAGTTTTCTTCATGGGTAAAGTGAACCATTTTTAACAATATACGATTTTAGGTTAAATTTACTTTTAATTTATAGTAAATATTTTTTTTTAATTTTGTTTCCTGGAATTCCCCCTGGTTGTAAAAAGTTTAAAGCGTTTTTGTATTTTTTTTCTCTTTAATATACACTCAAAATAAATAAGATATGAATAAGTTTACATTTTTGGAAATTTTTGGTACCGCAAAGGTTAAACAGTTGTGGTAAAAGTTGTTGTGTAAAACGGTAGATGATTGAATATAGGTTAAATTTTTTTATATTTCAATATAGTAACAGATTTCTTCGCATGATTGAAAAAATAATGAAAAAGTGCTTTTTAGAAAAAAAAACTATTAATGACAAAAAAGTATTATTAAAACGAATTGTTTTCTATTTGTTCGTTTTATTTATACACCATGTTTGAAAAATAGAACACAATCAATGATAATTACAAAACGATAATTTACGATATTATAATCAATTTCCAATCGTATTTTACTATAAATGTATATTGAACATTATTGATATAACATCAAACATAATCAATAGTGTTTATGAAAAAACAATGAAAGAACTATTTTTACTTCTATAATTTTTTGAGTATAATAAAAAATGTAATTATATAATTATATTTTTGTATAATTCGCATATTATTTTAGATTACAAACCACGATTGTATTAAAAGTTAACTATATGCCATCATAAGTATAAAATTATTTATCACACCAATTTTAGTTTTAATTCTTTTTTCTTAATAACCCAAAACATTAAAAATCAGTTGTTGCATATAAAAACGGGAAATCACACAATTGTTTTAAAAAATATATTGCGATCAGATGTCAATATGTTGGGAAATAATAAAGACAACTTTTCAAAACATTTCAAAATATAATTACTAATAAAATTAACATTTATTTGTAATAAAATATAATAAATACAACTATTTTTAGGACTCGATAATCACATCCAAACCACAGCGGAAACTCTTTTCAAAAAATTGGATTTAAGCATGTTGCGCAAAAACACAAAATCGAGTTGTGCATATGATTTATTGGATTATTGTGAAACGCGTGGCAA